AAGCCCTGCCAGGCCCGCTGTGGTCCAAATGCCAGCTGGTGAGTTCCAAACAATGGCAAAGGGTGTGGGGCTGGGGGAGGCTTATGAATTAAAAATAGATGCTAGTAATCGCCAGGGAGCCTGCAGAGAACATGTGGGCTGTGTTTACTAGAGAGAAGAATACTTCCTATTCATGCCTGAGACCCGGGGGGAACCACCCTGCCTCTCGCACCAACCAATGGCCTCTGGGTCTGCGAGACAAGGCCAACAGCTTCAGGGTTTACCAAGGGCTGGAAGATCCCTTTCCCATGGGATGGGACCCCCAGGGTCATGTCCATCTGGGTCAGGAAGGCTTACAACTAAGAAGACGGAGCGACTAAGAGATAAAGTCATCCTCTCTGGCTCCATGAACCAGCTCCCTACAGCACTGCAAAAAATGGTCCCCCAGCTATTTTAGGGACTTCAGTTGGGCCTTGTAGACAGAATAGAGACACAGGAGCTGGCTTTCTTCTCTGCCAAGATCTGGGTGCCTCTTTTCCTCTGGGTCTCTATCTATCCATCTGTAAAATGGAGATGGTAATACCTGCTCTGTGAACTTTAAGATCAACCAGGCAAGGCCCAGAGCAGAGCTGAAGTTTCTAAGTTTCTAAATACGCGTAACTGACCAAGCAGAGGATCGAGCTTCCTCGTTATCACCTGAACCCATGGAACCATCTCCAAGTCAGGTCACCTCACAGACTCTGGGCTTGGTCTTCCACAGAGAGCAAGAAGGCAATCCTTGCTCTCTTCCAGTCATCTTGGACATGATGTGAGATCAAATGTAAGCATGTGCAAAAGCGCCCCAGCTGATGCACCTGCCCAGCACCCCCAGGCCCCTACACTGCCAGTCAGCAGACATCAACAACCCCTTTGCCAGTGTCCAGCAGTGCCCACTGCCCACCCCACTCCCCCTTGCTTCTCAGGCAGCTGGCGAGCCCTAGGCTGCCACAGGCTACAAGGCTCACATCATCCCTCCTCATACAACAGCCATGGGACTAGCGACCCTTGTTTGGCAGGATTTTTCTAAATGAATTTTCAAACTGTGCGCACTGACTCACCCATATGAGGTGGGCCTGGCTGGGGCTGCACACCAAGCACTTGCTCTCCCAGGGCTCAGCAACCTGCTCCATTCCACTGGGTGCCTCCACCCTCGGCTGCACAAGGCCGCTGTTCCCTTTCAGCAGAGGCATCCAGAACTATTAGAATACACTTCTCCCCGAGGGAAGCCAGGCTTACAAATGGTGCAGTCCTGTCCTTTTAAATACTATCTATATGCTGACGACTCCCAAATTTGTGCCTCCAGCTTGGATCTCTCCCCGGGACTCCAGACTCGTTCATCTGACTGCTTATTTGGCATTTCCATGTGGATGTTTAACGGACATTTCAGACTCCACAGATCCATACTCAGCTCCAGCTCTGCCCCCACAGAACATCTGTTCCCTCTGCCCGCTTCCTCTCAACTCAGTCATGACAATGTCCTCTTTCCAGCTTCCAGGTGCAAAGCCTGTGAGCCACCTGAGACCTCTCCCCTTTCTCTCACACCCCACGCACAATGCACTGAGAACCCACACGCCGGATCTCTGAGCAAACCCGGCACCTCGCTGCTTCTCCCCCTGCTGCCACCCCTGCCACCTCACCCCGGAGTGCAGCAGAGGCCTAACTAGATCCCGCTGTCACATCATCCACCCTCCACACAGCAGCCCAAGTGACCCTTTAAATGGTATCCACTCACCTGTACCAAGCAGGCCTTCTAATGTCTTCCCATCTCACACAGGAAAGAGGAAACTCGAAGTCTGCCGTCCTCCCCAGGACCCCCAGCTCCCACCCCCAAGGCTGATTCTCTGCTGTCTCTGCCCTGCTCATTTGTCTCCAGTCACACTGAACTTTTTGCAGGTTCTCAGAATATCCCAAGCACATTCCTGCCTCAGGGCCTTTGCACTCACTGGTCTGTCTACCTGAATTGCCTTTCCTCAGAGATCCACATGATGTACTCTCTCACATGATGGAAGAGGCTTTTCTGACCAACTTGTCAAAACAGCATCCCTATCCCCACCATTCTCTATCCTCCCGCACTGCTTTTACTTTCCACTTTAGCACCCATTACTACCAAGTATATTATGCAAGCATTTAATGGTTGTCTCCTCCTATTAGGATGGCAGCTCCATGAGAGGAGAGGCTTTGCCTTCACTCAGTGCCTGGAACAGTGCTGGCACAAGGAAGAATTTGTTGAACAAAGAGGAAGCAGGGAGCAGCACACTGACCCTGCCTACTGTGTACTGAAGAAGAGAAGGGGCAGCTGCTGACTTGGTGACTGACCAGGTGAGGCTCTTACTATTGACAGATGGACTCTAAGAATCTGTGCAAAGTCCTTCTTCATGAAGAAATTCAGAATCAAGGTCACCTGTGGAATATATGTAATGACCCAACAATGGGTGGTCAGAATCTGCTGGAAAATTATCCCCAAGCGTGACGACACTGCAAAAGCATCATCTCAGGTTAAACACAGGAGGCAGACCTTGGCTGCTGGCTGGCCCTTGCAGGGAGAGCGTGGCATGGTAGAAAGAGCCCTAGACCTAGGGTCAGGAAACCCAGGTTCCAGCCCCAGCTCTGTCACAGAAGAGCTCTGAGGCTTGGGTAAGTTCCACCCCCTGTTGGAACTGGGGTATCCTACCCCTGCTCACCTAGCCACAGGTTCATTTTAATGAATTCATGAAAAGACATCTACAGAAGCACATTCTACCTTGGCAAAATACAAAACCAAACCTGCATGCTCTATAGTGCCAGGCAGGAAGCAGGCACACGATGCTTGCTTGCCAGGCAAATGAACTCTCAAGCGTCTTCCAAAGCCAGGATGCACAAGAACTTGAGAAACAGCCAGTGTTGGCAGGAGGACAGTTCTAGATCACATGTGGGGAGCTGAATTTGCTCTGGTGACAATCTACAGTAAAAACAACTTTATACCGGAGCATCCCCTGGAATTCTGATGCTGGAAAACCCACCAGTCCTCACATCTGCCAAACGTAGGGCTCTCGCTTATTGATCATTCCTCCTATTCTGCTTCCTTCCACTCTATCCTTCTTCTTGGCCACCTGCCCTCCTCTAGACCCTCGAGACTTTCTTTCCAGACACACTGTGGGCACCTGCTCCACCCACAAGCTCTCAGTACAACACCCCGTCCCTGGGCCCCTCTGCTGGAAGTGCTCTGTGTCCCACATTTCATGTACTGTGGAGGTGGGACCTGCCTTCCACTGGATTGCATGTTGCTCCAGCAGGTCACCCCTTCACTCATGAGGATGAGCCTGCCCTTCTTGAGGTCCCCGTCTGGTGCTCTTCTCCTCTGCCCTCCATGCATCAAAGGTGTTCCTGCCTCCTGGCTGACCACTCCCCTCCCCATCGTCCCCCAAAGCAAAGCTCTTCTTCCCACGCTTGCTTCCTACCAAGTGCTGCGGTCATCAGAGGAGCTCAATGTCATATGGACAGCCCATGCGACAACCTAACTTCTCAGCTCTTGTCATGTCAGTTCAGTGTCTCTCCATTCATTCCTTGTCTGCCACACTGTATGACTACATTCTGAGCCTATTTCTCCTCTAAGCCCCAAAATCCTAAGCCCTGGAACAGGGGCTCCCTTTCTCCCTTACGTTCTCTCAGTGCACTGCCCTCCAAGTCCCTCATCCCTCACCTTTTCTCCACGTCACCAGCCCGTCCCCCTTCCCTGCCACCCAAGACCTCCGGGTCCAACCCTTGGGACACTCTCTGACCCACCCATTGCCCTTGACCTTTGAGCACAGCTTCCAGCAAGCCTGGAGCTCTGCTCCTACCCTCGGGCTGCTGCAGACCCCTAGAGGGAAAATAAATCAGCCACTGTAGCCTGAGAGGAAGCAGCCAGGTATGCAGGAGCAACCTGCAGGGAGATGATGCTGAAGCCAAAGGAGACAGGAGCTCGAAGGAGGAGGGACTAATCAGGCAGACCGAAGTGGCAGGTCAGATCTGGCTGCCTGTCCCTCATATGTCAATCAGATCTCTGTCCTTGGCCTCCTTCAAACTCAACGCAAGCCCCTTCCCAATCTACTATCTACACTGAGGCCCAGAGGGATCTCTTCCCTCCAGTCTCCTGCCTAACAGCCTCTGACAGCTTCATCTACTCTCAGACTACACAAGCAAGACCTTTTGTGATCTGCCCTCTGCCCCTCTATCAGACCTCAAAGGTGCTGGATCAATCTTGATATCCGTTTAGTTTTGTATGCTCTATTCCTCCCTCCCTTATTCCTTGCTAAATTACACCCTTTCAAGACTCAGTGCAATGGTTTCCCCCAGAAGGTCTTGGCCAACTCCCCTCCATTCTCACTGCCCGCTCCCGTAGCACCCATCACAGCCATGTTATCCTGGGCTATCACCTGTCATTCATGCTGCTGTATCCCCTCTAGGCAGTGAGAGATATGGGGACACCAACACTGGCTCGTTCATGCATGTAGCACATAATAAGCACCCAATAAATATGTGTTATACAAAGTCCTAACACGACTCCTTTCTAAACAAGCTTTCATAAATTCCTCCCCATCTTCTTAAGTAATAAAAATTGTACTACGCCAGGCTCCATCCTGAATATTCTAATATATCAACTCATTTAACCCTACAATAAATCCATGACCATTATCCCCCTTTTCAATTGGTGGAACGGAGGCACAAAGGGGTTAAGACACTAACTCGGCCACTAAGTACCGAACCAGGACTGGCTCTAGTCTGTGCTTTTAACTGCTACTTTCACTCCCTCTTCACAGCATGCTGAAGGAAAACAAACCAAAATTAAGATCAGCCTGGGCAAAAATCATTTTGAAAAACAAACCCACAAACAAACAAAAATCAGCCATTTGAAGACTCATGCCTTGTTTTTAGCTTAGTCATACCCCTGACTCCTGCAACCAGGGCAGATAACTCTGCTGAGCTCCCCAGGTCCCTGGGTCCCTCCTCGTGCCCCACCTCACCTTGTCCCCGATGCCCTCAGCCTCCTCGGCCAGGAGGTACACGTTGCCACCATCGGCCAGCAGCAGGGCGGTGTCAGTGGTAGAGGAGGAGCGGGGACGGCACTGGTGCTGGTGCAGGATGGCAGCCAGGCTGCTGTCCTGGGGGGTCTTGCGCAGCAGGTGGGGGCTGCCGCGCTGGGGCTCCAGGGAACTGCTCTTGGTGCGCCGGCTGCTGCCCCCGCCGGCCCCAGTGCTGCTGTGCAGGCTGGCACCCCGCTTGATGGAGGGCCGGGAGCGGATCTGTTGCAGCACGCGGTTGAAGGCAGTGGGCCGGGCGGGCAAGTCGTGCAGGGACATGGCATAGGAGACACGGTGCATCTCGGGGGAGCGCTCCTTCTCGTCCGGAGAGTCATGGTCAGACATGCCCTGCTGCTGCTGGGAATCCTGAGACGCCTGGTGCTCCCTCTCCCGCGACCGGCGGCGGCTGTGGAACAGGTGCTTCAGGCCGTGGCCAAACATGGAGCCCTCTGAGAGCTGCTGGATTTTCTTAAAGGAGAGAGATGAAGAACTCTGGTGAGGGGAAAGCTCCTGAATGTCTAGTCAGTTATGAGTAAAGGTGAAGAGTCTGTTCTTGGGAGACCAGCAGAGCTACTACAGCCATCTGAACCTGGAGCATCCCTAAGGATGGTCTTGCCTAAAAGGTCACCCTCAAAAAAGGTGACAAAAGCTGGGTGTGGTGGCATATGCCTGAAATCTGAGCACTCAGGGATGGTATGGTAGGAGGATCAAAAGTTCAAGTCCAGCCTGAGCAACTTACCAACTCAGGGAGATTTTGTCTCAAAATAGAAGTAAAAAATGGGCAGGGGATGTAGCCCAATGTAAAGGTCCGGGGTTCAATTCCTGGCATTCCCCCAAAAGTGGCAGACCTACTGCTTCATTCCCAAAGAAATGTACCCCACAATATGGCTTTTTTTTTAAAAGAATGATGCTCTCAGGCCACAGTCTGGGGCTCAGTGGCACACATAAGTAGCACTTGGTTCCTAAGGTTGCATCCTTCCAGATCAACGTCAGCATCCCCAGCACCTCCCTTTCCAAGGTACACTCTACTTCCACCTGCACTGGCTCTTTCAGATCACTAAGCACTCATTTCCAAATATGCTTCATTTGGATACTCCTTGGAAAAACCAGGGTGCCATAATCAGGTTATATTCTTGAAGCAGGCACAGCTAATTGCACAGCTAATTGCCTGCTCAACATCCATTTCCTCTTCTTTCTTGCCAAAGGTCCTTAATGTTCCTTCCTAAAAAGTCCCACTTTTACAGACTCCCTTGCAGCTAGGAGTAGTCTTCTGATACAATTGGGAGCAATGAAATGCAGAGGTAATGTTGTTGGGGCAGCTTTGCTTTCCTAACAAAGGCAGTGAACCTTTCCACTTCTTCCCATCTGAAATGTGAAGGTAATGTCTAGAGGTGCAGCAGTCACTGTGCCACCACATGGTGACAGTAAATGATGATACCAAACAAACAGCAGAGCCTGAGAAACAGACCTGGGAACTTGACAGCCTGTAGAGTCACCAAATTAGTCATGAATGCCTACCCTGTGCCCTTTGTTGCCGTAAGTAAATAAACCAACCTTTGTCTACACAGCTCTGGTACAATTTTCTGTTCTAGCCCCACTGGCAATGAAATAAACTACTTTTTTTTTTTTTTTTTCCGGTACTGGGAATCAACTCACGACCTTGCACTTGCCAGGCAGGCGCTGTGCTGCTGAGCTAAATCCCTAGCCCATAAAGTACTTTTTAACAGTGTCATCTTGTAGAATGGTCAGTAACCAATTCTCTCACATCCTCATTAGAACTGGTAATCCAATGAAGGTCTTTCCCCTTAAACTGAAGCAAAAGCAAAGAACCCTGGAGCCAGCTCTGCCCTGGCCACAGCCTTTCTTTAGCTGCATGGAACTCTCCAGCTGCTCCACAGGCACCACTGTTCAAGGCAGGGTGCTCAGTGCACCACCAGGGCAAGTTGGTGTGATAAAAAATCCAGACAGTTGCCAGGCCATGGGCCACTGCTCTGACTAGGCTGAGCCCTCTGCATAGCTTCAGAGCTGAAGCAGGGATGCAAGGTGAGCCCCACACTCCTGACTGCTAAAAAGGAAACCCCCAGCCAGCCATCGGGGCTCAGGGAACCACTGCAGGTACTCGTCTGGGAAGAACAACGCATAATTCCCTGGGGTGGTTTCAGTCATTTTATTTTATTTTATTTATTTATTTTTTTGGTTTTTCTCCGGTACCGGGAACCGAACTCACAACCTTGCGTTTGCCAAGCAGGCGCTTTTGCCGCTGAGCTAAATCCCCAGCCCCTGGTTTCAGTCATTTTAAAAACTCCAAAATTACACACTAGATTTTCTCACTCCTCTAGAAACAAACTTACGGTAGAACTCTTGAAGACATTGGTGTAGGCAAAGATTTTATGAACAAATCCCCGATCACACAGGAACTATCACAAAGAATCAGCAACTGGGATCTCATCTTATTAAAAATCTTTTGCACTGCAAGAGAAACCACCAACAGAGTGAAGAGACAACCCACAGAATGGGAAAAAGTTTTGTCAGATGTTCCTGATGCAAAGGATTACTATCCAGAATATACAAAGAACTAAAAAAAAATCAGACTCCCTAAATTTAAAGACACAATCTAAAAATGGGCATCTGAGATGAATACACACTTCTCAGATGAAGAAGTACAAACAGCAAATAAATATATGAAAAAACGTTCCACATCATGGTCATTCAAGAGCTACAAACTAAAACAATGCTGAATTCCACCTCATCCCAGAAAGAATGGCTATTATCAAGAAATCAACCAATAACAAATGCTGGTGGGGCTGTGGGAAAAAAGGAATCCTCCACTGTTGGTGGGAGTGTAGACTGGTGCAACCACTGTGGAAATCAGTGTGGTGATTTCTCAAAACACTAGGACTAGAGGTTCCATTCTATCCAGCTAGTCCCCTTCTTGGTATCTTCCTGAAAGAATTAAAAGCACCATACCACAGCAATATATGCACACCCATGTTTATAGCAGCACAATTTGTAATAGCTAAATCTTGGAAACAGCCCAAATGCCCATCAACTGGTGAATGGATAATAATGTGGGTTTTTGTTTTGTTTTGTTTTAAATACAATAGAGTACTACTCTGCCATAGAGAAGGATAAGTTCAAGACATTTCTAGGTAAATGGATCTTGAGACCATACTCTTAAGCAAAATAAACTGGACACAGGTATAAATACCTCACTATTTCTCTAGTGTGAGAAACCAAAAGTGTAAATAAGCAACAGAATATGTAACAGGTATTGTGAAATAAGAAGAAAATATTCAAATGGGAAGGGGAACAAGAGAAGGGAGAGGGAGAAAAGAAAGCAGGAAGAAGTAAAAAAAGAAATGAGAAAAGAAGGAAAAATGAAACCAAAGCTTTTGTAAATGGGGAGAGGGGGAGGGAATGGAAAAAAAAAAAGAAATTATATCATATACAGGTACAGATTCTCTAGGAGGAATGCAATCATTATGTGTATCTAAAATGTACCCAAAAAAATCTGATTGGAAAGAAACAGAAACAAACTTACAAAGCAGAAAATTTAGACCATGCAGAAACCAAGAGAAAACAATCTCACATCTTCTGCAGTCCCTGACCCGAGTCTTCTGTCACTTTACACCTCAGTGCTAAGACTTTGTGCAAACAACTACATTATCTATACTTGTGGGAAAGTGCACTATCACTTTTCTCCTTGTCTGAGGCTCTCCCACAACCCTCCAAGTAGGCCAGGCCCTACTGTCACCCATTTCATAGGCCAATAAATTCCTCCGTCGCACCTCACCAGTCACTCAGGGTTTGTGGCTTTGGACATTCACTTTCTCCTGCACGATCTCGCTTAATTTCCCCAGATGCCAACAAGAGCAACAACAGTAACGTTCCCACTTACAGATGAGGAAGTCATTCGTTCTCAAGAACTGGACTTGCCGGGCATGGTGGTGCACACCTGTAATCCCAGCACTCCAGAGGCTGAGGCAGGAAGACAACCAAGAGTTTAAGGACAGCCTGAACTATTTAACAAGGCACTGTCTCAAAAACAAAACAAAACAAAACAAAACAAAACAAGTACCTGGACTTAGGGGCAACCCTGGAGATGAAAGGTCACACAGTGCCAGGTTTTCCCATGGTCATTATATTCCTAGGGTCAGCCAGAGGCAGCACCCCAAGGCTCCCCTGACCATTCTGAGCAGAACCTCCACGTGCAAGGTAGAGAGACAGTAACGCATTCTGCCATGAGCTCAGCAGGAGCCAGATCCTGTGGCCTCCAGCCGAGAGGCAGACACCACACCACCTTCTTCCTCAGGCCCAAGCTGATGCAAGGCCTCCTCCCTCCAGGCATCCGGGATAGGCCCAGCTGGCTCTGGCCAACGCCCAGCTGCTTCTGCCAAACGGTCATGTTACATATTATGAATTGTCTATCCAACTTTCCCTCCCAGGTCCCTTGACCCTCTCACCCCATTCCTAACCTGGCTTCTCCAGCACTGAGGAAGCTCTCCTCCAGCCAAGAAGTCAGTAGAGGTCCTTTGGGTTCCTGGCATTTCTTCTCCCCAGCTCTGGGAATTTGGTGGAGGTGCCAGGGACCCCATCTGCCATGTTCTCTTTGACCCTACCATCCTTGGACAGCTTATTTTAAAAATTAGACATGCTGGACATAGGGGTGCCTGCCTGTAATCCCATCGGCTCAGGAGGCTGAAGCAGGAGGAGTGTAAGTTTGAGGCCAACCTGGCAACTCAGTGAGACCCTGCCTCAACATTGAAAAAAGAAAAAGAAAAGAGGGCTGGGGATATAGTTTGGTGGCATAAGCGCCTGCCTAGCAAGTGCAAGGTCATGAGTTTGAACCCCGTAAAAAAAAAAAAAAAAAAAAAAAAAAAAAAAAAAAAAAAAAAAAAGAAAGAAAAGAAAAGAAAAGAGAAAAGGAAAGAAAGGGCAAGGAAAGAACCAGCGGGGCTAGGATGTAGCTCAGTGTTCCCTGGATTCAAACTCTAGTACTGGAGAAAAACAGACAATAATTTTTCTAATTGCTTTCCAATTTATGCTGTCATTCTAATCTGACACTACCCTCATCTTTGGTGTTGGGATGGGTTAGGTTATAGCACTGCTGCTTGCATTTTGGAGATGAAGAAACTAAGGCACAGCACAGCTAAGGGTTCATCCAAGCCACAAGGTGAGCTCCCAACTTCTAGCCCAATTTACCTTTACTGATAATTTACCATACTGATCACAAGACTAAAGTGGATACGGTATTTGCATGTGTCCCAGAACAGTATCAAATGCAAGATCGAGACAAAACAAAAATGCCTGGACCAGGGGAGTTAGGCCGCCTGCACTGTAGCTGTGGATCTGCTCAAGTCATCTGAGCGGAGTTGGCTAACACCCTCAACCACAAAGTCTTCATTTCTCTTCTCCCCACCTGTTCTCCAGGGGAAGGAAAACTAGGGATGGCAGCCAAGGGACCGCAG